CTACATTCTTGAGGATACCATCCAATTAGTAAGTTTACAGAGAATCCTTTTCTTGCTGTAAGGACCTTTATCCTTCCATGTTGCAGTAATAAACCTCCAAATCTAAATGTCACACTAGAAGAGAAAATTTTCCCCTTCTCCAACAGCAGCTCTCCTCCCCACCATTCAGCCACTCTGTGTCTGGTGGAGTTGCCATTCTGTCATGTGGCCTGAAGAGCTTGTATTTCTCTTAAATAATCCACAAAACTTCACCCTCCATCCCTTCCCAGAACCATACATAATGGGTTGTGTGAACACCACTTTCTGTATTTACACACTAAGTCCACATGACATCACTAGATAACATAATCTTGGACTACTCTTTCAGTGTGGCCCGTTGTCATCAGAAATGTCATTAATGTGCATGTACATGTAATAATGTGGCTCCAATCTAATTGTAATGCCTCTTGAGATATGTGGGAAGATGGATGGAATATTTATAGTTACTAGTAATGAATTCATGGCTGCCAAAGAAATTGGCAGGTGATTTATATTCTTCACAGAGTTGATACAAACAATATTGTTTAATATTAAGGAGAATAAATAATGAAAAAGACCAATAGAAATATTCACTGTGGGGTCAAGACAATGAAATCTAGTGGAGAAGCCTATACCTGGCTAGAAGGTGCAGCTTAAGTTGGCATGAGGTATCTGGCATGTTATGCCCATTCTATTACATCATGCAGAGGATGGGCAGATATAAGGACATTCAATTTACTCATAATGGGCATTGCTGCCATCCTCTTCAAACCCCCAGAACCAGAGTGAGGTTAAAGATAGAAATTAGAGTTTTTGTTTTCTATGTGTGAATTCCCTTGGTTATCTGCAAAAGAAAGCAAAAACCCTACCTTCTGTTTAATGTACTTGTCTATGACTTCTTTGATTGGCCAAATAGGAATAGCATTCTTTTTATCTGCAATGTGAAGGTTTTTTTTAAATTTTTTTGTTGTTGGTCATGGGGCTTGAACTCTGGGCCTGAGCGTTGTTCCTGAGCTCTTCAGCTTAAGGCAAGCGCTTTACCACTTGAGCCATAGTGCCACTTCCAGTTTTCTGAGTGGCTTATTGGGGATAAGAGTCTCAAGGCCTTTCCTGCCCGGGCTGGTTTTGAACTGCAATCCTCAGCTCTCAGCCTCCTGAATAGCTAGGATTACAGGCGTGAACCACCGGTGCCTGGCAGGTTTATTTTTTTACTAAAATAAAAATAGGGGAGCATTTGATGTTGTAATAGCATTTATATTTTAAAAGAATACTATGAAAGATTTGTGTTTGTGTATGTGTGTGTGTGTATGCGTGCGTGCGTGTGTGTGTGTGTGCGTGTGTGTGTGTGCACCTGTCCTGGGGCTTTAACTCAGGGTCTGGGTGTTGTCCCTGGCCATGGGTTGGACAATGGCATCACAATCCCTCTGTGGTGGAAGGAGGAGAAGGCACTAGCATCTGGAAAGTCACTAATGCTCTAGAGAATCAAACAAGATAAAGGCTAGAAAAAAAGCTTGTATTTGACTTGTCCTCATGTGGCCTCTAGTGATTGAATTGACACCAATTATAGTAGCGTCAGGGGGTTATGGTATTTATAGATTGTACCAGGTTGAGGAACACATGGAGTTGAAGAAGTAAAGGTAGTGATGAAAGGTTACTCCTCCCAGAAGCTACACAGTATGTGGAAAGAAAATAACAGGACAGTGTTTTTATTCCGATCTCCTCAACATCATCACTCCTGTTCAAACAGAAGTTCCTGACCATCAAGTGTGGATACTGCCTTGTGTTTTAGTTCCTTCATAAAATCTCCCCATCCAATGCAGCCAGCCTTACTGTTTGTTCTCACTAGCTCAAATTCTGTGCTCTGCTCCCACGGAGAGATTTTTGTAAGTTGCCAACAACTGACACATCACTGCCCTCACTTGTTTTCTTAGATTTTTCCTCATAGGATAAAACCCAGAACCATTTATGTGGAAAGTTAAGGCTTTCAGATTTAGTCTCTGGACCTGTACTCACTTCTTGATGAACCTACTACTTCCTGCTTATGTTCTTGCTGTTTTTCCACTGGAAAAGCCCTTCTCTTCTTCCTCTAATTTTTTGCTGGAGCTTCTTATGTTATACCTACAGTCACTGGCCACAAGAGCATTTAACATACCCAGAGGTGGCCCTTGTGTGCTTCTCATTCTCCACCCTACTTCTCTAGCTGCTCAACATTTTGGCTTCAGGCAACTCTTTTTTTTTTTTAAATGAAGCTTTGTCAGAGGTTCTTAATTATAATAGGAGTTAGATGGTTTTTGAGTGGATAAAAGCTATAGTCCATGAGTACAGTATCCTTAGTTCATGTGCTTGCTTTATTTATCTTATATTGGTTTATATTTACTTGGATAATGTGACCCTATTGTAACCTAGTGTCTTGTACCATACTTTGTGTGAGAAGTGGTGGCGTGTTGTGACACGTCTTGGGAGTGGAACAGTATACATAGTGTTCTATTCTGATACTTTAGTTATTTGCACAAACATTTCTCTGAATATCCACAAGGAACAGGAGTGGACAGTCATGACATTGAAGTAATACCTCTAATTATTGTGCCAGACTTTGTGCTTGAGTTAGCTTTCGAGATCAACTACCTCCAAAATTTAATAGAGGCTCCTATTTAAATGTGTTTTCTAATGACTGACAGCCAAGATTACCTTTTTATTTTCCAATACTAGGTCCCTGAATTTAGGATCTTGCAGCTGCTAGTCAAGGTGCTGTACCACTTGAGCCATATACCCAGCTCCTTGGATCTTGTGTTTTTGCCCAACCCTGCCTTGGACTCTAATCTTATTACTTACACTTCCTGAGTAGCTAAGATTAAAGGCATACATCACCATGCCCAGTTCATGATCTGCCTGATTCTTCAACCTTAAGCTCCTTTTGATGTTTCATACCACCTCAATAGCATCCAGTTGTTGAATACTTTCTGTCTCCATGGTGCTGGTCATGCATTGTTTTGATTTAGTTCTTCTAACAATCTACAAAGCATCATTATCTTCATTGTATGATAGAGAAACAGGCTCAGAGAGGTTAAGTAATTTGTTAGGGTCACATAGAACTATGATAATTGGCAGTGCATCTCAGCTCTGTTTGAGACTTGAGTTTTCTTGACTCCCCCCGCCCTCTTCTTCTGTTCTTTTAGCCAATGGCACGATCTAACCAAGGGCAAAAGGCTAGTAGGCAAATAATTGAAGCTGAGTGTAATAGTGAGGTATGAACTGGTCAGGGCAAGGAGCTGCTGGTTCAGTGAGGAAGGAACGGTCGTAGCTGCTCATGCTCTGGGTTTCAGGTATTCTGAGCATGTCAGAACAATGGTAAACCACTCACCAAACATTACTTGGATCTCTCAAAGGATACTAATGAATACAAATATAAGACAGAAAAATAACTCATGTTTTTGGGGAGCAGATAGAGGGATGGGGTGAAGGACAATATGGCTGCCAGAGGAATTAGGTCTATAACAGAACCAGTTGCGAGGTACTGTCTGCCAAGCATGGAAAATAATAAGCCAGCTGTCTTGCTATGAGCCCATTCATCGAAACTGCCGACAGTTCTGCAAAGCCCTTTAGGATATATTCTCTCTGGCTGTTGCTTCTGCCATATCCCACCTGCATTTGGTCCTCAGGTTTCCACACTTGTTTTTTGCCTTCAGAGCCTCAGCCCTGGCCATTCCTACTTCCTGGACTTGCTTTTCTCTTGTGATTTCTCATCCCTCACTCATTCAGGATCTAGGTTGTGCCCCTACTTGGGGGAGCCCTTCCCTGACTGTCCTTCCGAATCATTGTTTTTTCACGTTGTCCAATCAAACAGTTAGTATGTGTTAGTATGAAAGAACATGGGATCCAGAAGCAGGCTGCTTGGGCGCCAATCTATATAGATAGTTTTAGGGGCAAATTACTTAACTCTCTGAACTTTAACTTTCCTATCTGAAAATGTAACAATAACAATATCCCTTCTTATAATGGGCTGAGTGTATATGTGTAAAGCACTATTAGTGGCTAGCATAGGGGAGGTTAGTAGTAAAAACAAGGTAAGTCTTCTCATTTTCATTCATCCGTTCTGTATGCAATGAGGTTGGTTGGATGGTCACTGCAGAGAATGCAGAGCTTAGGAACAGGAAGGCACAGGATGGGCTCAGTGATTATTCTTAAAGGGGTTTCTGCTTGTTGTAGACATTCCTCTTGAAGAGACAGACACATATTTTCCCTGTAAACTCTTGCCTACAGATCATGCAAATTGCTTCTTTTCTCTCGAGTTACTGTCCTCCTTGTTTTGCAATTTGTGGTGTCCAGAGGATACTGATAGCATACTTTATTATGACTTGAGGTGACATTTATCTGTGCATTTCTACATGCACATGATTTGTTACTTACAGTCCTCTTTTAGTGTTGGAATCAATTAGAAGCTTGATGAAATGGTAAAATATCACCAGATACTGACCAAAGCAGAATATAGGTGAAAGGCCCAGTTTTCCACCTCCCTATTGCCTGTACTTACCACTTAGAAGGCTCGATATACAGCTGCTCGATCACCTACTTCCCCAAGTCCATCTGAGTTCTATTCGGACTCAATTTGCTTCCTACTGGAAGCCTTCCTTGACTTTTAATACAATGGTCTGTTGAATAGACCTGATTCTCATCCGTATAGAAAGACTTAATATCCCACTACAGGGTGACTTTGGAGTCTCCTGTCTATGAACTATTTGGTGAGTGCCATCTCTTTGTCTTTCTCCTGGTATTCTCTACTTAGCAAAGCTTTATTAAATAAGTAGCATTCTTTTTGCTTTTATATATATATATGTATATATATATATACACACACACACACACACATATATATATATATATAAAGCAGATAAATGAGGCAGCAGTTTTTTGTTGCTACAAAAGGTCTACTCAGTTTTAAGAATGAAATTGCTGTACTGATATCTGCTATTTTGGCTTTACAGAAAAACACATGCGATGAAAACCTGAATGTTTGCCTTGAACTTATTGAACAAGTTGCCAAATTGCAGGGGCAGCTCTTCACAATTCTCACATCAGCAGCCCAAGAAGGTGAGAGCTGCCTTTGCTTCTCTATCCTACTCCACCTCCCTTTCCTCCTCTTTTCCTTTCTCTTCTTTCTTCTTTCTCCTCTTCCTTCTTCTCTCCTTCCTTTCTCTTTTCTCCTCTCCTGCTTTTTTGTGTCCTCTAGCTAAGAAGATGTGGCTGAGTTTCTCTTGCTGACCTGATTGATATATGTGTGCCATTCTTTTAGGAGGACATAATGAGGGTGTGGAAATAATCAAACTACGTCTTCTGCCTTGGCTGGAAGCTGCTTTTACTGCTGCTTCAACAGGAAAAGCTCTTGACAGTAAAGTCCCTTCTCTACAGGTACGAATGCTAAAGGATGACCCTTGACTTTTTGTGTGTGGTTATTTTTTTTAATTTTGCTTTGGGTGGTGCTGGGGATCATATCCAGGGCCACGAGTATATTAGGCAATCACTGTAGCATTGAGCTGCACCTCTAGCACTGACCCCTGACTTTGTGAAACAGTGCATTAAACTTGGAACATCTAAGATAAAAAGAAAACTTAGCAGAGTGTCACAATTTGATATTGATATTGGTTTCTATGGGACAGTGTCCGTTTTCAAACAGAGACTAGACTAGAAAGATAATACATAGCATACTTAAGCATTATTGTGCTTGGGTAAAGAAAACATTGGTGTATTAGGACATTTTCTGTTGCCACAACAAAATACCCAAAGCTGGGAAATACATAAAGAAAAGAAGCTTATTTAGCTCACAGTTTTAGAAGCTGAAAACCCCAACAGCCTGGTACTGACTCCAGCAGGGACTACATGGGAGTGGGGGGGGTAGGATAGGGTTGGGGGTGTCACCAGCAAGAATTCATATAAAAGGGAGATGTCAGATGGCCAGAAAGGAAGCTAGCATACAGGAAAGTCTGGCTTGCTCTTTTATAACATCCTCTCTTTAAGAAACGAACCAGAATGTCATGTCCCTTCCAAGCACAGAGTCCTCAATGATGCAAGTACTTCCCATTAGGCCCTGCTTCTTAACTGGGACCTAACACACAAACCCTTGGAGGACATACTCAAGCCATGTCCAAACCATCACAGCCAGAAACTTTACTTTGAAAGGTTTAACTGGATTGACATACATTTCCTTTCTAAAACTCAAGCATGCAGAGCAGGCTTTTCTAGCAGGAGGGTTTTACAAGACAGTGACTGAAGGCTTTCAGTTTAAAGATCAGTGGGCAGGAAACCAGATCCTATCCCATGGCCCTGGGTAATTATTTAACTATTTATAAACACAAATTGTTTTCTTATTGGGCTGACTGGGGACAATGATTTTGCTGCCCTAACAATAGGTTCATTACCCGAGGTACTGATACATGGTAAGGACCATGTCATTAGGCAGTTCTTTCCCTGAGGAGTTTTGTATGCTTCTCAGATTGATTCTGGGTATAGAGATGTAGAAGTGTGCATCAAAGTCTTTTTTTTAAAAATATAAATAAAGGTATAATTTATAGAACAGTGAAACCTTCAGGCTGATAAATTATGGCAAATATGCCAATGAAATTCACATCCTTGCGAGATAAATGGTTCTGTTACTCCTCCAGAGTGTTAACTTGTGTAACCTTGGAGGCAGCTGCTCTTGAATTCCTTTTATTTTAGATTGGGTTTTAGAGCTTCATGCCCATAGAGTCATGGTACACATTCTCTTTGTGTGGCTGACTGCTTAGCTCAGTGGTTTTGTGATTTACTCATGTTGTTTCATGTATTCAGACTACCTTTTGATTTCTGTATCTTTCCAGAACACCTTTGATAGGGAGAAAAATAAAGACACTAATATTCAGGATGTAGATCTACAACAATTAGACAATGACATGAAGGAAACCCGTGAACAACTCAACCAGGTTCAAGACGAGTAAGAGGAATGCAAGTTATCTTTTTCCAAAAAGAATTGTTTATAATTTAGTCATACTTTATATATTGGAGAAGAATAATGGTTCATTTAAAATGTGGGCATTTGCAAAAAGTAACACGGTGTGCCTGTATGTGTACGTGTGTGTGTGTGTGTGTGTGTGTGTGTGTGTGTGTGTGTGTGTAAGGGAAAAGGGAGGGATGGGGGAGAAATGGAGAAGAGGGAGGGGATCAGGTCCATGTCTAAGGGTAGGAACAGTGGGACAGCTATATTATTCTCTGATCCCTGGTCCTTTAGCTCCTTCTTCATAGTCCCATCATCAGCTCATATTTATAAACAAGTGAAGATTGTTTAGATGAACATCTTACCCATTGGGAGAAAGATGCTGATAGGAAAGGGATGAAAGATGAAAAGAGGAAAGAGGGTGAAAGATGAGATAAGTATCAGCATCCATCTACTGTAAATAGGCTTTTAGGAGAATATGCCTCAGAGAAGTCACAGTTAACAACACCAACACCAACACCAACAACAAAAAATGAACTGGAGCTGTGGTTCAAATGGTAGAGTTCTAGCCTTGAGTGGCTAAGCTAAAGGACAGTGCCTAGGCACTGAGTTCAAGCCTCCCTACCAGCACAAAACAAAAGGAGACAAAACGAAAACAAAAAAATAAACTAGGCAAGCGTTTAGAAAAATTAGAAAGTTTAAGAATGTATTTTAAAATGTATTAAAACAGTTAGGCAGTTCCAGGCAACAACAGGAATCAGATGCTTGCACTGGACATGTAAGTCAGGGTAGTAAGTGTGGGAGGTACTGCAGAGAAACTTTCAGACTTTGGGTTTGAATTTGATGAAGATAGACAAATATGTATGAAATGGCATTCAAAACCCTGTAAGGTGTTTTGGCTACCATAGCCTTTTGCAGGAATGGGATAGCAAGGAAGTCCGTTCTAACTAGTTAATGCTTGTGACAGAATAGTGTGTCAATGCAGAATTCTGCTTTGTTCTCTCGATCTGATTTCCTTTCTTCTTTCCACAAGGAAAACGTCTCTATCTAGTTTTTGCTTGATTATAAAAATTATACAATTTTCTTTTCAAATGCACGGAATCAATATGAGTGCAAATATGAAAGTCACCTATACTCTCACGAGACCTTGTGAACATTTTGGCATATTTTACTCAGTCATTTTCCTTTGTATGTGTTTGCATGCTATTCACAAACATTTTCCTTTGTATGCACTCAGCTATTCATAGCTAAAGAGCAGTTGTAAAGCTATAGCAGTTAAAATGGGTAGGTATACAAAATAATTTCTTTGAGGTTCTTCTGTTTATTTTAACCATGTCAATCAATTTCTGGTCTTTTCAGGCTTATTGTCTTCCTTTTTGTGTAAAGAATGTAGTTAATTCCAGATATAAACTTCCCTTTTGAGCTAACCAGGTCCCTTTGTATAGTAGATTCCTTTCACTTTATTCTTCCTTGGGTTTGTCTTCATCTAGAGAAGGGGCACTTGCTTGCTATTCTGGTATTCCAGGTGAGGCATTTTGGGTCCTGTTCTGTCCTCTTGGCTCACGCTGGTCTTGTGTCTACTGAGCATCAGTATCTTATGCTGATGGGTCCTGAGTTGAGCCTTGTTGATTCCCTGGGTCATTGGCTGGCAAGTGCTGCACATGGTGAGGGCACCTGCCAGTTGCCTATAGTTGGGATGTAGAGATTTAAGAATTACTGGAGATTCTTGTCAAAGTTTCTCACTTTCCTTTCTTGTTATATGGTTGACATTACCCATAAGGGATACCAGAGACCTAGAAATTTGAAGAATAAATGCTTTTTCTTTCTTTCTTTCTTTCTTTCTTTTTGTCCAAGCCTAGGACTCAAACTCTATACCTGATGTTTTGGTACCAGCTGGTGCCTGGTGCTCTACCAACAAAGCCACACCTCCAACCCCAGAATGAATGTTTTTTAAACAATTTTTTAAGAGGTCTAGATTTTGCATATGAGAGAACATGCAATATTTACCTTTCTTAGTCTGGATCATTGACCTTAATATAATTTCCAATTCCACCCATTTTCCTACAAATGACATAATTCTACTCTTTATAGTTGAATAATACTCCATATTACGTGCACTCATGTGAACATGTAGATAAACAGTATAGATATGTGTGTATACATGTACACACATGTTACACATGTAAATGTATGCTTGTACACACATGTGTACATAGGTGTATCCTTACAAATCTATAATATTTATACATGCATATATAAATTTATACATATATACATATATATTTGTATATGTATATATACATATACAAATCTATACGATTTTTTCTTCATACATTCATCTGCTGGTAGCCGTTGGGCTGAATCCATAGCTTGACTATTATGCTGCTATAACAGGGGCATGCAAGTATATCTATTCTGTACAGACTTAGCATTCTTTTTGGGTATATATATATACCCAGAAGTAGTATAGCTAGATCATAATGGTGGTTCTAGTTTTAGTTTTCCGAGGAGCTTCCATATTGATTTCCGTAGTGGCTATATAGTTTACATTCTCACTAAGAAATTCCAGCATGGGACTTGGGAAGGTGGCACAGTGGTCGAGTGCTTGCCTTGCATGTATGAGGCACTGGGTTCGATTCCTCAGTACCACGTAAGTAGAAAAAGCCAGAAGTGGCGCTGTGGTTAAGGTAACCTTGAGCTGAAGTGCTGAGGGATAGCGCCCAGGCCCAGAGTTCAGGCCTCACAACTGACAAAAAAAAAAAAAGAATTTCCAGCATGTATATTGGCTTCTTTTTTCTTTTTGCTTTTGTGGTGCTGAGGAATCAAACCCAGGGCCTCATGCATGCAAGGCAAGCACTCTACCACTGAGCCACCTTCCCAGCCCCTATTGGCTTCTTTTTTATGGCATCATTGTTTATTTTCTTGAGGACAGCCATTCTGACAGACGTGAGATGGAATCTAGTATTATTATTATTTTTATTGTGAAAATACTGTACAGAGGGGTTGCAGCAACAGAATCTAATATTATTGTGACTTGTATTTTCTTTATGACTAAGAATGTTAACAGTTCTTCAATAGAATATTTGCAAGAATAGTGCTAAGCATGTTTATATATTCTTTCATTTAACTTTTTGCCCTAATTGCTTCATTTTTGTGTATGTCCCCTCTCCATATTCACAATTTTCTTCCTCATGGAACAATTTGAAAGCTAGTAGTTGTTGCTCTTCCTGGAGTTTAATAGCTTTGTTTTTCTTTTATCCCACCTGTGGTTCTAATTCTGTTAGGTATCGCACATGATTGGGTCTTTGATAGCCTGCTCTTCCTTCCCTCCCTTACTCTGCTTCATGATCCTTAAGCATGTTTCCTCTGTCTAATTTGTGGAAACCAGTTGGGTTCTTCCTCAGTTTCAAAGATGCAAATCCCAGTAACACAGGCTAATGGAGACAAGTCCTCACAGGTTTGATGGATTCTAGACAGGAGAAGACTGTTTCATGTCTGCTTCACTTCGTAGATGAGGATCTGTATTGGTCATTTTTAAAAAATCATTGTGACAAAAATTCCAAGGCAAATAATTTCAGCTGCTAGTTTCCGAGGTTTCACCGATGATCACTTGGCCTCTTTACTGTAGGCCTCTTGTGAGGCTGAACAGCATGGTGGGGAGTGTGTGGTAAAGCAGTGCTCCTCACTTCATGATGGTTGGAATGAAAAAAGAGAAAAAGGAGGACAGGACTTTATGTCCCCTTTACAAGCATGCTTTCAATGACCTATGTCCTCCATCTAGGCCCATATCCTAAAGTTTCTACCCTTTCTCAATCATCTACCAACTTGGGATCAAGCCTTTAACACATTAGTTTTTGGGAGACTTTTAAGGTCATAACTCTAACAGAACCCCCCCAGTGTTTTACTTTCCATTGTTCTTCCACTAAAAGGAATTGCACTCTCATGGTCTCATAACTTCTGCGATGAAAGAATCTGGATTTTCCAGGGATGCAGTTCACAGAAATCAGGCATTCTTTGTCAGACAATACGCCTTACTGTATAAGGGAGCTTCATTGAGAATCAGTGATCTTCATCCAATGTTTACTATCCCACATTTCTAAATTTAAAGAGATCTAAAGTATGAGTATGATTGAGTATGTTTTGTCTAGTGAAGAGAGTCTTTGATGCTAGCAGTGACTGAGCTATTTGGAATACTCAAGGAAATCATATTCAGGTAGAAATCAGATACAGGAAAACATGGGAGTTTTGATAATCAAGTGTGATTTTTGAGGACTCTCTTCACAGATGGGCAAGCAAATTTTGTACATTTATAAAGTCTTAGAAAAACAAAGGTTAAAATGCAGCTCCACAGTGAAAAATAATGAGTATAAGTAATGGTAACTTGCAGGAAAAAATGGAGATTTTTTTATACGGGCCTAAACTGTATATGAGGTTGGATATGAGAGAATTAGAGCAGGTGAATTAGGAGGGTGAGAAGGATAAACTGAACAAGTGTCTTGTTTGTACCCAAGTCCACTGTAACATTTCTAATATGTCTGATTAAATGCAGATGTCTTGTAAGTTGATTCTGTTTATATTGAATGTGTGTCATATGTGAAAAGTTCCTGAGAGAATCTACGCCTTATTTGGAAAGTCTACCAATTTTGAAAAATATGTTTTTAACTACTGATTTCTATTACAGTTTGCCTGAGGCTGGAAAGCCTCTTGAAGAATCCAAGAATAGATCAACTGTATCTCTCTTGGCTGCAGAGGAGGAAATAAATCAACTAAAGAAGCAGTAAGAAAAAAGAATGATAGGGGCTGGGAAGGTGGCTCAGTGGTAGAGCGCTTGCCTTGCATGCCTGAGGCCCTGGGTTCGATTCCTCAGCACCACATAAGCAAAAAGAAAAAAGCCGGAAGTGGCGCTGTGGCTCAAGTGGTAGAGCGCTAGCCTTGAGCTGAAGAGCTGAGGGACAGCACCCAGGCCCAGAGTTCAGGCCCCACGACTGGACCCCCCCCCAAAAAAAAAAGAATGATAGATTAATCATTGAATTTAGCTTTTCTTTGGTGTGTCATTGCAATATGAAGGAATGTGTTTATGATTAGAGGCAATGCTTTCTAAATATTAGTATATTTTTACTACAAAGTATTTCCTATCAACTATAGACAGTTTCTAAAATGCAGTATTATATAAAGAATATAAAAACTGTCTTATAATTCTGGTATTTCTTCCATTAGTATATTAAAACTGAGTGATGAATGCAGAATTAAGCATGCACATATACATTTTTGGAACCTACATTTTTATTTAGCATTGTTTTTCTCTATTACTAAGAAAAGAAATACTGCAGAACTTAGTTTTAAATAGTTTCATCTCTTCCTGTCTTTGGGTAGTTTCATGTTAAATGTTCAATTGAATACTAATTTTTACCATAGAAACAACATTAGAATGATTTTGTAGAAAAATCTCAAAAAAGAAAAATGAAAATCTCAATTTGGATTTTAGATTATTTCCTAAAGATCAATTTCTGGAAGGGGAAAATGAACAAATTCTTTAAGGTTTTACCTTTGTAGACCTTAATTTTGACTCTTCTCACTTTAAAAGAGCAAGCAGGAAGCATATTTACACACAGACATATACTATGCACACATACTACCACTTAATTGGCTTCATACATGTTGTGAAAACAATAGTCTTGATTTCCTCAGGAGTACCCACAAACCTTTGTATGGAACAATTTTATTTCCCATTTCATTGATTTCTTTTTTTTGGGGGGGGGGTCCGGTCGTGGGGCCTGAACTCTGGGCCTGGGTGCTGTCCCTCAGCTCTTCAGCTCAAGGCTAGCGCTCTACCAC